GGATGAGACTGGTTACTTTAAATGAAGTTTATAATTAATAATACTTTATTTTCCCCGTTCCAAATTTGATGGGTTCACTAACAGTTTTGCAAGACAGAAGAAAACACAACCAGATAGAATACATCTATTGGTGAAGAGATGGGTTCTGATTTAATAGACACAAAAGTAGAAAAATTATGCTATCTGGATTCAGGAAAATATGGCGTTAACCTTCATAAAAATCAATGAAGTGAATGCTGTCCTAAACTCCCACTTTACAGACATGAGATCTGAGGCTCCAAGAGGTGAATCTCCCCAGGGTCACTCAGATGGTAGGTGACAGAGCTGAAACTGAGCCTAAATTTATTGACTCAAGCAAGCAGTCAACAAATTATATGGACTGAAGCCAGGGGCTAGTTGGCCATGATCTGGTTTCAACCGAGACCTCATAGCCATATCTGAAACCTGCAGGATGCAAATGCCGATGGTGAATTTTCTACCTTGCCTTTCTGCATCAATCAGGCTATTGCAGAGAACCTCCAGATTCTCTGTCATTCCATAGAACCATAGGGAATCCATTGACTTGAGATGCCTGCACCAGCTAGCAGCTCTTTGAAGTGCCTGCGACATCAACGCAGCCTGTGTTTGCTAATGACCACAGGTCTTGCATCTAAATGGACCTAATTGCATCTAAACTGGGCCTAATTGTTTAAAAATAACAAATCCCTCAATGCCATTTAATATCTCAGTTGACGTCAAAAGATGTCCATGGGGATGATGTTCCCTTCATTCTTCAATGGACCCTGGAGGACACACTAAAATGCGTTTACAAATGACACCCAGCCTACTTGCCAAGACTAACCGTGGGGAAGGATATCCTTTAAGACACACGCTGCTACTCCATGGAAGTCTGGAGTATCAGTTTTTCAGAGAATATATATTTGGAACTTTTGTTTTCCTTCCTGAAATCAAACCAATGTGGCCAATGAAGAAGCTCCAGGGCTTCCCAGAGTCTTCCTACCACTCTAACGGTGCTCTTTAGTGAAAGGACGAAATACCAGCTGCTGTTCTAAGTCACTGGGTCTTAACTTTGGCTGCACATTGGAGCTAACTCGGCATTTTAAAAGCTACAAATGCCCAGGCACACACCCAGAAATTCTGATTTCATTGGTCTGGGGTTCAGCCTGAGCAGTAAGACTTTTTAAATATTCCCCCTATGGTTCTAATGTGTAGGCAAAGCTACGAGCCTCTTCCTGACATGAGAAGTCAGCTAAACCCTTGACCTCTATTGGCCACTGATGGGAACAAGGGAGGCATTTTTCCAAGTTTAATTTGATTTTATTATTAGTCTATTTCCACTTTCTTCTATACAATTATACTACGTATTGGCTATCAAAGGGTTTGCAAATATTAGGTAGAAATATCACGTAGAACTATAACTTGAGAACTTTATATACAATTCCACAGGTGCTGTCGGATCAGTTGGCCCAATTCCATACGGGCCACTGCAGTCATTTGTGAAGCATCATAAAATTTTAGTGCAGAGTTAATTTGCCTTCAAGATTTATAGTGAACGTCAAGTGGTGTAAAAAAAATTAACTTCAAAAAACTTAAATACACATTAAATTATTGTCAAAAATGACTCCCAGGACATTAATCAGCACTAAATGAGTGTGGGAAAAATACACAGTAAGTTTTGGATGAGACTCTCTTGAAATCAAACTTTGCAATTGGTCCAGAAACCTCATCAAATTTTCTAGAAAACATATCATTTAACAAGAATTGTAAAGTTTATTTGTTTTTCAATCTGACAGTTTTTGACAACACCCAACACAAGCCACCTGCTATATCTAGACACTGTAGAATATAATTATAGAAATAGTAACATTATTTTAAAACTCTGAACAAGAAAAGTAGCAACTAATATTGAACTTTAAGCTTCTGGTAGTATGTTAAGCTCAAACTTCACTGGCTCTAGCCTCTGACCCAGTATGTGAGGGAGGAGAGTTGGTCTTTTCCCACAGAAATAGCAAAGTAACGACATTTCCCTCCCATTGTATCTCCAACCCTGTTTCTGGCAGGGTCTGCAAGTAATATTCCAGTTCAATTTCTAACTTGGAGTTTTCATGTGTACCTGTTCAAATGAATAAGATCATCACCACATTTTTTCCCACCACGGTTGATTTTCAAAATTGATTCTCACATTCCTGCTAAGGTACACACAAATCAAAGATCACACCAGGCCACGTCACCTGCATTTAGAGTTGTTTCAACGCTTAAGTTTGAGACCTGCTTGCCTGTTTATTACTATCCTTCCTTCCAGCACTGGCTACCAACCCAGATCTGGGGGCCAGAAATCATATATTTTGTTGGAAAGTTTTGATAAAACAGAAGGAGTGGCTTACCAGTTTTCTGTTGATGTTCTTTCTAATTTCTCATTCCATGAGTCACAGCAGCCTCGAGTGGTACCCTCCGCGCAGGAGGTGGCTGAGGAGAGAAACTGGCTAACTTCCTGAAATAGGTCACTTTACCATCAGCAGAACCTAGCTTGTGGTTTGCAGAAGCTTATGTGGAAAGAAGGGAACTGGTGATTTCTTAACTGTTGCCAAATCATTTATTGACTGTGCTTTAAAATTGCGAGAACGTTATTTATCAAATGATTTAACCCAAGCCAGATATAGACAGTGTGTGTGTTTTGGGGAGTTTGAGCTTATTTGTGGGGTAGGGGGGAAGAAAATGGGGACATTTTTCCTTTTACTGAGCAAACTTTAGTGTACTCTTTTAAAAAAAACCAGACTTTAACACAAATTTCTACTCAATTTAAGATTTCCCAAACTCATTTTTTGTTGTATAGTTCACAGATGTGGGCGAATAACACAGGCACTGCTTCATCTCCATTGCATATAGCTCCGAGATCACGCATAGCTCAGGGAGGTGTGAGTCTCCCGCCTGGCTGTGGCTGCAAAGTGGGTGTCTTTTTCCTGGGTGTCCCTGCATTTCACCCAGCACCTGGCATGTAGTACAGGCTCAATAAATGCTCATTGGCTCGGCGCCTATAGCTCAACCGACTAAGGCGCCAGCCACGTACACCTAAGGTGGCGGGTTTGAATCCCCAGCCCGGACCCACCAAACAACAATGATGGCTGCAACCAAAAAATAGCCAGGCGTTGTGGCGGGCGCCTGTGGTCCCAGCTACTTGGGAGGCGGAGGCAGGAGACTCGCTTGAGCCCAGGAGTTGGAGGTTGCTGTGAGCTGTAATGCCACGGCACTCTGCCCAGGGGGACAGCTTGAGGCTCTGTCTCAAAAAAAAAAAAAAATGCTCATTGAATAAATGAGTGAGTGAATCGGTGATGTGCATTCATGAAGCTGGAAAATTTAATTTTCCTGACTTGGTCTGCTAAGTGAATTCGATTCCAAATTCTTAGAATGAAGGCTTTAAAGGGATTGGCCAAGAGCAGAGGTCAGCAGACTGCAGCCTTCAACCAAATCTGGACAGGAAGCGATAAGAACAGACGTGCAATGTATTTGATGATATTGGAATCCTAGCTCTAAACTCCCATGATGTAAAACGTTACCACCTCCACAAATGATTCCATTTTTCTCATTATTAGACTGCAAAATGCTATTACCACCACAAATAATTTCATTTTTCTCATTGTAGACCCGTATTACAAAAAACTACCCTCAATTATTGTATTTTGAATTTTATCAATTAAACAATTGTGGGAATGTATTTTTCTCTTCCTATGTAAGTGCCCACATAATACCCCATGTTGGCTCTTGGCCTATAAAACCCAGAATATTTACTATCTGGCTTTTTACAGAAAAAGTTTGCTGGGCGGGTGCAGGGGCTCATGCCTGTAATCCAAGCACTCCGAGAGGCTGAGGCAGGTGGAATGCTTGAGCTCAGGAGTTCGAGACTAGCCTGAGCAAGAGGGAGGCCCTGTCTCTAGAAATAGCCTGGTGTTGTGGCAAGCGGCTATAATCCCAGCTACTCCAGAGAGAATCACTTGAGCCCAAGAGTCTGAGGTTGCTGTGAGCTATGACTCTACAGCTCTCTACCAAGGGCAACAGAGTATGACTCTGCCTCAAAAAAAAGAGAGAGAGAGAGATGTAATGTGTTTTATCTTGCATCACACCCCTAGGATGGGAGGAGATAACATTGGGGATAGGGTGGGTAGGGGGGACATTCATGTATGTACGGACTGTGGAACACTTTGTTGGGAAGGACAGCCTGTCAACAATCACAGTGTGGCTCTCGTGGCCGTTCTTGGATTGACTTCTAACAACCAGTCAATAGGGCCATTCAAGACGTGATGTAAGGTTCGAGAAATGATTCCAGTGCCATCAGAGTGCAGCCCCTGCCTTTGTGGGAGAACCATCACAATTATGAGCTCAAAGACCTCAGCCGGTGGCCTCCCAGCCTCTGGGTTTCCCTTGAAACATTTGCTTAGAAATCAAGTAAAGAAAATAAGGAAAAATGACCTCCAATGTAGACTAAATGATGCCCCTCAGGACAGGAGGGTTTATCAGCTTTCCCATAAAAGCCAGACTTAGGTGGTCTGACTGCTGGGCCACAGGGTGTCAGCCAATTACAGACCAGTCATTTGGGATCACTTACAGCATGCTCATGTGTGTGTGTGTGTGTGTGTGTGTGTGATCATATGCATATGTTATATATAGTGTTATGTGTATATGTGTGTGCATGTGTACATATACACACACAGTCTAAGGCAATGATTTTCAACCTCTGTGCCACGGCATGGTAGTGTGGCATGAGAGGATCCTAGGTGTGCTGTGAACATTTTTTAAAATCATTAATTAAATTATTTCCAAAAGAAATTCAAAGCCCAATGGGTATATTCTTGTTTTTACTCTTTTTCTTTGGTCAACATAATTTAAACGTGCTGAGGAAGTTTAACTATAGGTTCAAGTGTGCTGTGAGATTAAAAAAAAACCATTGTAAAACACTGGACTAATGTCTGTGCTGACAAACTCATTAAAAAGGGCTATGTATCACATCGAATGAACCTTCTCAGTTTTTCCCACACAACCAGTGTGGGAAAAGACGAAATGAAAATGGAATCGACATCAGGTTGGGAAGGGCACTGTGAGCCGCAAGCTCCTCCCACATGAAACGTGGCCGGGTGATCTCGCCTCTGCCCAAGCCCAGGAGCATGCCCTTGGTGGCCAGGTCTGTTCTCCTGTCCTGCCCTGAACTGCCCTGCGAGGCCCAAAGTCCCAGGCAATCTCCTAGACTAATTTGTCTTTGTCCTTTCCGCTGCCATCCATGCTGACACAGATCTTTATAGCAAAACGGAGATCTGTTGACCGGGAGTGGTGGCTCCCACCTGTAATCCTAGCACTCTGGGAGGCCGAGGTCCATGGATTGTTTGGGCTCAGGAGTTTGAGACCAGCCTCAGCAAGAGTGAGACCTTATCTCTACTAAAAATAGAAAAACTAGCCGGGTGTTGTGGCAGGTGCCTGTAATCCCAGCTACTCAGAAGGCTGAGGCAGGAGGATCGCTTGAACCCAGGAGTTTGAGCTTGCCCGGGCTTTCTACTCAGGACAACAGAGTGAATCAATCTCTCTCTCTCTGTCTCTCTCTCAAAAAAGGAGATCTGTCATTAATGGCTCCTATCAGGCAAACCTGCCAGTCAACCAGCAACATGCACACCTACTAATCACTGGCAGATGAGCCTCTCTGAGCCACAGTTATGTCCCCTCTTAAATGGGGTTAAGAATAGTAGTATCTTTTTTTATATGATGCTTTAGAGGATTCAGTGTTGTCACACTTGTGCAACTTAAGTACCTGGCACAAAGTAAGTGACAGGTGGCTTCACGAAGAACCTATCTAACAGAAGAAAGTAAACCATCAAACAGAAAGTGAAAGAAATGAACTCAGGGCACAAAATTACCCCCCTGAAGTGAAAACTCACAATACAGCTGGCCCCTTTGTTTTATTTAATTAAAACTCCTGGGCCGGGCGCAGTGGCTCATGCCTGTAGTCCTAGCACTCTGGGAGATCGAGACAGGTGGATTGCTTGAGTCATGAGTTCGAGACCAGCATGAACAAGAGCGAGACCCCATCCTTAAAACAATAGCCGGGCATCCTGGCAAGAGTCTGTAGTCCCAGGTACTTTGGAACCTGAGCCAGGAGGATCGCTTGAGCCCACGAGTCTGAGGTTGCTGTGAGCTGTGATGCACGGCACTCTACCCAGGGCAACAGTGAGACTCTGTCTCAAAGAAAGAAAGAAAGAAAACAACAACAACAAAAAATCCTTCTGTGGCCAGCTTGTTATCTCCGAGAGTTCTTTCTCAGCCTCTAAGAGCACTAAGCAGTAAACAGGGGGGTGAGCTCCCTGCTCGAACCCTGCCTCAGTTCTCCCCAGCGCCAGATTCCAAGGACTGTGACCAGCCGGAAGGAGCACCTGCAACCATTTCACTTCAGCTTCTGTTATCAGTCTCCTGAAGCAGAGAAAAAAAAGAAGCCATTTTAACCCTTGTAAACACCAGCCGCTTTCCCTCAGCTGCCCAGCACCCCTTTCTCTCTCTCCCCGCCCCCAACCCCATTTCCTTCCTGTCTTCTTTCTGTCCTAATTACCTTGTGAGAATTCATTCTCCAACCTGCCATGAATACCTAGTAAATTTTCACCCTAACAATAAGCATTCGATTAGCAGAGCTGACATTATCATTATACCCTTGGCTTTTTTTTTTTTTGCGGTTTTTGGCCGGGGCTGGGTTTGAACCCACCACCTTCGGCATATGGGGTTGGCACCCTACTCCTTTGAGCCACAGGTGCCGCCAGGCTTTTTTTTTCTTTAAAAAATTTTTTTTGACAAGGTCCCACTCCCTCCTCAGGCTAGAGTGCCGTAGTGTCACAGCTCACAACAACCTCAAACTCTTGGGCTCAAGTGATCCTCCTGCCTCAGCCTCCCTGGTAACTGGGACTACAGGCGCACACCAAATGCCAAGCTGTTTTTTTCTATTTTTAGTAGAGATGATGTCTTGATCTTGCACAGGCTGGTCTTGAATTCCTAAGCTCAAGTGATCCTCCTGCCTTGGTCTCTCAGAGTCTAAGATCACAGGTGTGAGTCACAGCACCCGGTCACCCCTTGCTGTGACTTCACTCATTCTTGGACTGTTGCTCACAGTAGGCCCAGAAAACCACTTTCTGGGGCCACACCCAGCCCTGGGCACAGCCTTTTCTTCTTAAGTCAATGACCACCAGAGAATTCATAAGGCAGCAAATGGCTTCCCAGGTCTGGGCTGTCACAAGGTGCCACATAAGGAAATAATGTGGAACTCTGGAGAAGGCTGAAGGCCTGGGGAAACACCAAGGGCCTGGAATCCGTTGTTTATCATGAAAAAAAAAAAGTGAAATCAGTGCTAAATACAGAAAAGTATAAAATGGAAGGACTCATATAAAAAAATCACAAAATAAATTTTAAAAATTTTAAATTTCTTATTATGATGGGTACATAATAGTTGTGTG